CTCTCTTCTCTCTCTCTCTCTCTCTCTCTCTCTCTCTCTCTCTCTCTCTCTCTCTTTCCTTCTTTCTCTCTCTCCACGACGCGAATTTGTATTCCCGGACTTGGCGTTACGCTAATAGAACACTTTAGGCAACCGCTCCGCCCACTGCTCTCGCGAGAAAAGTTTCGAATTTCGTCTCGAACGCCACACCCGATATATTCGCCGAATAAACATTTCGCGCTGTCGTTGGCGCCTGTTCTCTTCGCGGGTGAAGAATAATAGCGCGCAGTTTCCTGCGTTCGGAGGAAATTCGCGTGGATATTTCGGTGCGCCTCGTCGAAGAAAACGCGAGAGTCAACGAACGAACGCAGGGAATGAAAAAAAAAGAAAAAAAAAGAAAAAGAAAAGGGAAAAAGGAAAAAGAAACGAAAGAAACGCGTGGAAATGGTGGAATCGTTGACCCGGTAGCGATGGTATGAAATTTTCAAAAAAAAAAAAGAAAAAAAATACAGAGGCAACGCGCGTTGAATAAAACACGCGCGACGACGCGTTATCGCGAGCGACGATCGATTTCCCTCTAGCGAGTCTCGAGGAACCGCGGTCGTCGTGTCCTCTGCCCTCCCTCTTCCTCGACTTCTTCCTCCCCCTCCTCTCTCTCTCTCTCTCTCTCCTCTCCTTCTCGCACGCTCTCGAAATGTGCACGCATCTCACACAGCGTTTGTTTCATCGTTACAGTGGTATACTGCGACTACACCGCCTCCGGAAGGTCACTGCAATTTCTCGAGGAGTACATCGCGAAGGAAGTGCTGCCATATTTGGGCGACACCCGAGCGTCCACCTCCATCTGCAGCCTCCAATCCTCTCTGTTCAGGTGAGCCTACGACGACGAGATCCTTCTCTTACGCGAACATACCTTTCATTCCCTTCCCCCGATAATTCTCCGCCTATCTATCCGCGCTCCCCCTCGCGTGAAATGTGGCCGCGATAACGATCGAGGCCGCGTGGAGAGGAACACGCGCACGCACGGATCGAGCGTCCACCAGCTGCCGCGCTTCCCAGAAACCGATCCCAGGCCCGACCTATTAATCGGGGAATCGCTACGTAACACAATCGTCGATTCGTTTTCTAAATGCTCGCGCGGATCGTCAGAGAAAGTATCGCGCGCTGTGAATTCGTAATCGGCGATTTCCTACGCGACGGGGTTTCCGTTTTCCGCGCCACTCGACCTACGCTCTCACGCACGTCTCCTTTCTATTCATTTTCGAAGTTTTTCTCGCAAACTTTTCCTTCTCTCGCGTTTTCCGGGGAAAGGAGGGGAGGGGGAGTCCCGTTACTTGGCACAGTTTTCGATCGAAGCGACCCCGTTATCCTTAAATCTCGCGCGGTCGAACGTGCGAGGGGTGGTTCCTCGCTCGGCGTCCCGTTCCCCGGCGCTCGTGCCCCAGATCAATATCCACCGAGTCGAGCCAACCGCGCCGCTACACACATCCTGAACCAACTCGAAACGCATCCTTCTTTCCATCCCTCGCTCCGCTTTTAATCCTTTCGAGCAGAACACTTACGGGCCCCCCCTGTTAACGTCTGTTAACGCGAAAATATATATTGTTTAAGAAAATTCGCTTAACGAAAACCGATCTTTTTTATATCTTTCAAAAAGAAAAAAGAAAATCGCACGAGAATCGTTTTCGTTACGAATTTTGTATCACCGCTCTGTGATAACATTTCAAATTCGTCTCGCGTGATATCCTGCACGAAAGGAAAAAAGAAATGTATCCTTTCCTTCGATCAACGGTAGAATGATAAATCGAGGCGTCGCGGCGATAAACGCTTACGTCCCATTTACGTTCCGATCGACAAAGGAAACCGAGATCGGTAAATGTTGTGTGGGGAAACGCGAGGGGGAACGTTGGCTGGCGACTTTACGATCGTTAATGGGCACATGGAAGGCCGGATCGATGCGTGGTGACGGGAGAACGATCGTTACAGACACGAAGCCAGAGACATCGTCCGACACGCGGTGGGAGCTGGAGAGCAGGATGCGGTTCTTTTCACGGGTCAAGGCACGGCGGCTGCCCTCCGCGCGCTTCTGCGACACCTCGACCTCTCGAAGTCAACCGTGGTCTTCGTTGGACCGTTCGAGCATCACGCGAATCTCCGCCCTTGGCGGGAGCACGGAGTCAGGGTAAGGAAATAAACGAGTCGAAGGCTGACTCTCCCCTATCGGGAGAATATTTTCGAAGGATGTTCGCTTTCCGACGAATCGCCGTGTTTTAACGACGCCATTAATTTATCTTGTCTTGTCTCGAGCTATAAACGCGTATTATTCGCCGCGAGGTTAATAATAACAAAGGATGTTTTTATAATAAGACGGACGCTTTTGTTCCGAGTTGGAGATGCGTTCTTTTATCCCCGGGCGAAATTATCCCGTGGGAAAGTTTTTCAAAGTCTTCGACGCTTCGTGGAACGTGAGCGCGCGACACCACGGAAGGAAGCGATTTTATAGATCTTTTCCTTTGAAATTTCGCACTTCGTCGCTATAAAACTTTCGGTTCGAAGTGAAACACGAAGTTTCTCTCTTCTAAGAATTTTTCTCTTTCTTCGAACGGACGAACAATCGTTAATTTTATTTGAATTGCAAAAACTTTCGACGAATCGCCGATTTGAATCTCAGATTCGGAAATAGACCTCGCAACTTGACTTTGATTACACGTTTCACAAACGAGCTCGAGCCAAGATCGATACTCGACTACAATCTCTATTCTTCTCTACTCCATCGAATTTGTTTCTCGCCGCGATTGTTTTCGCGTGAAATTTTTTCCTTTTTTGTGAAAAATTTAATTTTTTCTAAATAATAAAAATTCGCGGTTTATTTAAATATTATAAAAATAAAGGATAAATTAAGTTGAATTACGTTCGTTACCTTTGAACGAACGCTTTCATTGCATCAATTATATAAAATAATAACAACGCGATGCGCAAACGTGATTACCCGCTCTTTGCATAATCGTCTCGATTACGAATAAATTACACGAAAATTAATAAGCATCGCGTGTATGGCGATGTATCTCGTGGGTACATGCAGTCGAATTGCAACCGAATTGAAGAAAACAAATTGGTTGTAACATTTTGGAACAATTAACCGCAGATAATACGAGTGTCGGAGACCAGGGAGGGCTTCTTAGACTTGAACGATCTCGATCGAAGCTTGATCAAGATGCGATCCGAGGGTGTTACGCAAATGATTGGATGCTTCAGCGCTGCCAGTTGCATAACCGGGGTTTTGGCAGATGACGTCGCCACGACCCTCCTCCTCCATCAGTATGGGGCGCTCAGTATCTGGGATTACACCACAGCAGGTAACGATCGTGCCCGTGCGGATCGTCGAATCGACGAAAGATATTAACGTGACGCAACCGTTTGACCCATTTCACATATAAAAATACCACCACCATTCGATCGCTCGGATATTATTCACGTTTAATTAACTCGTTGCGTAAAACGCGTTCCCTCCTATGCAAATTTTCGTCGTGATAAAACATACGTATATCACGTTGCAGCCCCGTACGTGCAAATCGACATGAACCCACATCTGCCCGGTGTCGGTGAGACGACCGTGCACAAAGACGCGATTATTTTCGCCGGGCACAAATTCATCGGCGGGGTCCAATCCCCCGGGGTGCTCGTGACCAAACGGTCCCTGCTCAAAGATAAAATTGCCACGGAGGACATGAGGGACTCCCATCACTATCACCGGGACGCGGAACTCCGCGAGGAGAGCGGCACCGCGGGTGTCGTGGAGGCCATCAGATGCGGACTCGCGGTACAACTGAAGGAGAACGTGACGCCTCGAGCGATCGTCGCTCGTCAAGATAAGATTTCCAGGTACCACTCTTCCTCTCCTATACGAGTTTAGTAACTTTGTTCTTTCTTTCTTCGTTCGAAGAATATCGATCGATCGATCGCCGATTCCCTGTTTGCGCTCAGCAACACCGATATCGTTGCGAATATTTATAGAAATATATATATATATATATATATATATATATATATATATATATATAATAATAAATTAAAC